GGATAACAGGGAATGGCTTCCCACTGCCAGAGGGCAGGGATGGATGGGATTTAAGAAGGAATTGTTCTCTGTGAGGGTGGGCAAGTCCTGGCACAGGGTGCCCAGAGCAGCTGTGGCTGCCCCTGGATCCCTGGCAGTGCCCAAGGTCGGGTTGGACGGGGTTTGGAGCAGCCTGGGACAGTGGGAGGTGTCCCTGCCCATGGCAGGGGTGGCACTGGATGGGCTTTAAGGTTCCTTCCAGCTCAAACCACTCTGGGATTCTGTGATTCTGCATTGTCTTCTTTTAAACTGATAAGAAGTTACTGAAGAATTTGAGAAAATGCATTATAAATAGTGTGTAAAGAAAAAGAAAGACCTGTAAATGCAATAAGCTGAAGAGGCTGAAAAAAATATTTCAGTCTAGAAACATCCCAAGTTGTTCCTTTTTACTCAACAAAATTTTTGCAATTTTGGATAAACCTGAGGAAATAAATGGAATTTCTGCTGTGGTCAGTGACTTTCCCTGGCCTCTCCTCTCACACAATCCAGTACCAAAGCATCCCACACCTGACAGCTGAGCTATCTCCAGCCTTCTTCCAAGCAGTGTCTGATTCACTGTTTTAAGTGTCACTTTGCCACTAACAATGAAACCAAGCCCTGAGTTTCAGGCAATTGGATTTATTACATGGCACCACAGTCCTGGATGTGGCACAGGGGCAGCAGATGTGTGAGAAACCCTGCCTGGATCAGCCTCTCTAAGAGCATCTTCTGCCAAGCAAAGATTAGAAAATAACCCAGCAACTTCCTCCCTGCTCAGCACAAAAGACATTTTTATATTGCTGCAAATACTTAATTATGTGTATTTTCATCAGGCAGATAATTCTCAGAGCCTGATCTGTAGCAAGAGTTCAAAATCTTTATGTTGTTTAAGAACAGTATTTGAGACAATTTAGTGTTGGTTTTTTGGGGTTTTTTTTCAGTGCAGTGGTTTTATAGAGTTGCTCTGTCAGAGAGAAAAGGAAAAAAAAAAGAAAAAAAAAAGAACCAGACTGTTGATCAGTAACAGTAAACAGTTAAACAGTTTTGCCAGTTTTCTGTCAGTACCATAGCCATGGCATGGACTTTTTTTCATTCTTAACACAGATCTGCACAACTCAACCTCTGTCCCACAGCTCTCCTCTCCTTTATGAGAAACAGGATTTAGCCTTCTCAGCCTGAAACTCAACTGAGAGCTGTCCAAAACTCCTGCAGCTTCATTGCAGAGAAAAATTAAGTGTTAATTTGGAACCCTTCTCACCAAATTAGCAGGAGATAAGGTCAGGGCATGCAGACAATGAGAGAGCTGATCAATGCTGTGGGTAGGTGAGGCTCACAGGGCAGAGAGAATGCTGTCATCAATTAATGGCAACGAATTTATCACCACCTGCCAGCCCACGCTGTTGGAAAGGCTTCATTAAGTGTTGTGCAGCTCCCAAAGGCACAGTGTTAACAGAGGGAGAGGGGCTGCCCTGTTCCTTTGATGGCACTGCCCCTGTGCCCCTCTGAGGAGGCAGGCACTGAACCTGTTCCTGCAGCTCCCTGCCCACCCCAGCATGGCAGGACCAGCCAGGGAGCCCTGGCACAGTGGGAGAAGCAGCCAGCCCTGCACTGAGCAGAGAAGGAGCTCATCCCTCCATCTCCAGAACCTGCTCTGGCAGCAAGACCCGGGCAGAGCAGGGCCTGCTTCAACCATCCTGGTGTCTGCTGGCTTGAAGGCCCAGACAACGAAGTCCAAAGTTTCCAAACCAAATGAAGATGGAATACTAGTTTGGATAAAACCACATTGCTTTGTGTGGGGGGCATTACTCAAAAATATTGAAGTTATTTAGCAGGGTCTGAGGTGACAGGACAAGGAGGGATGGTTTTAAACTGAAGGAAGGTCAATTTAGACATGAAATTGAGAAGGAATTGTTCCCTGGGAGGGTGGGCAGGCCCTGGCACAGGGTGCCCAGAGCAGCTGTGGCTGTCCCTGGGTCCCTGGCAGTGCCCAAGGCCAGGTTGGACAGGGCTTGGAGCACCTGGGACAGTGAAAGTTGTCCCTGCCCACAGCAGGGGCTGGAATGGGATGAGCTTTTAGCCCCCTTCCCACCCAAAGCAGTCTGGGATTCTATGAAATATTTTTCCCTCTAAAAACCTGCTTCAGAAAGATGTTTCTGATGGTGAAGTCCTTCTTTACTCTTCCCTGTCACTGGCTCCCTCCAGGGCACGTCCTCTCTCAGGAGCAAGCAGCACCCAAAATCCAAACAGCTGAAAGGCTGAATCCTCAGACAGGCAGCACCTCACAGCATTTCCTCACCATGCTCACAGCAGGCCTGATAAAAGCACTGCCAGATGCAGCTGCAGGTCCCTTGGGAATTGTGGGAATCCAGAGCATCCATCTGGCTGCCCTGGCAGGTCTGGGACCCTGGCAGGGGTCAGGAACCCCCCTGGACAGAGCCCCCAGAGACACTGGCTGTGATGTCTGTCCATGGAAAAGAGTTTTCAATCTTACAGGATGAATTACAAGCTCTGAGTGTTTGATATCAGTAATAATTAAGTGTGGCACGGGTGCAAAAGTACGATTTTAGGATTCTAGATTAGGGGTTCAGAGGGGACAAGATGGAGGAAATTGGGTGTGCCTTGTCCTTTTTCTCCTTCTTCATGCCCTCCATGTTTCACTGTGGTGTTGGCATTTTTCTGTTGGTTCAGGCTGGGGACACACTGTCCAACGTAGGTGACAGATATTGGCACGTTATTGTAAATCCAGCACAGGTAGTTTGTGGTATTTAATGTTTGTACCATCCCACTGAGGGCAGAGCCCCACACGCTGCCCTGCAGGACAGAGCTGCGGCAGGGCAGCAGAACATGTTAGAGATAAACAGAATAAACAACCTTGAAACCAGCACAGACCAATTATGGCTTCTGCTTTGGCAGCGGGGCTGACAGACAGAGACTTTCTACAGCCTTGGAATCATCAATACCTCAGATTCTGACAGGGAATCCTCTCCCTCCCTCAGGTGATGCCTGTTCCTGGTGTGAGCTGCAGGATCAACCCTGGGGTAGGCTGGGCAGGCAAAGCTGCTCACAGGGGCTGAGCCCATTCTGCTGCTCTGCCTGTGTTTCCTCTTGTGCCAAATGTGCATTTTCCCCGTGCTGAGGATTAACACAGCTGCTCTGTAAACTGTGCCATGGAAGACACCAACTCCTGCACTCTCAGCAAATCTCTTGGGTTTGAGTTGTTTAAAGGGCAGCATTTAATTAACAACGAGAGGAGGGGGTGGGGGGTCTGCTCTAAAGGGAGAGCCCAGGTTGTCATGTGTGAACAGAGCGAGGATTTGGGGAACTTTACAACATTGTGTTAATTAACTTCTGTGCTCCTGACTGGAAAACAGCCCCGGACAGCCAAATTTCCTGTCTCAGCTGCACCCCTGCAGAGTTTCACAGACAAAGGCAGGGTGGAGCTGACAGAGATGAGATGATTTGCCAAGGTGATGGGACAGGCAATAAATGAGCCTGCTCTGGAAAGCAGGATCCTGGTGTTCTTCTCACTAGAATAAATGCTAATTATGACAATTAGGTACTTGAATTAAGATGTATTATGGTAATATTTGAGGTCATTAAAAGTAATAATCACATTCTTAGGTGGCAGTTAAATCAGTTACTAAAAGGCAAAGTTCCTTTTATTTCAGAGATGGAAAGTGACAGAAAAGTTTTCCAGCTGAAAATCCACAGGCAGGGACAAGGCAAGGCAGTAAATTTTCATATTATACCTTACACTGCCAATTACTAGTGACTGATGTCCACCTCCTGTTGAACATTTTTACCCCCAAAACTCTCAGACAGTAGGACTTGGACTTTTTCATGCAAATAAATCCTTGAAATAATTCCACATTTTTGTAATTTATGTTACAAACCCTGTATTTCAGTTGAAACTTCTTCACTCTTTACCTCATTGATACGAGATCAAAGATGGGCAGAAATCAGTGAATTTCGTCTTCCATTAGTTTACTTTGAAAATCTCAGTTACCAAACTGTGAAGCGCAACTTTTATGTCTTTACTCAATTTCAGCTTTTATGAACTCTCCCTCTGATCCTGAGAATTAACTTTCCTCCTAGTTTCTCGAAGTATCAAATAAAAATGCACAGACTGCAATATTAAATTCCCAGGGGTAGTTCATGATCAAGTTCTGGCTGGTGTTTAGCTCAAAATGAGCAGTATCTGGTTTGTGAGCTTTCTACAATCTCAAGAGGTCATTAATTCCTTTCTGATCCTAATTAAGAAGTGGTTCAGGAAAAAAAAAAAAAGAAAAAAATCCCCAAATTTAACTGCATTCCCATTTTGCAGGTACATTAAAATCAAACAAATGCAGGGAGGCAAATGTGGATCCTATTGAGAAGACTGATGACAGTAGAGAGGATTTTTAGCTGTGAGTTTTCATCTGGGAAAGTTCTGATGTGTCATAAAGAATCATTGTGAACACAGAACCAAACTGGGGCCAGAAAGGACACTCTGGTTTTGCAGGACACCCCAGCATGTGTGTGATGAGGCACAGACCAGCAGGACCACTCACCTCCATGAAACATTTGGCTGAGAAGAATTCTCTGTCCAAATTGCTCTTAAGGCAGCAACCCCCTGGTGCTGGGACCAGTCTGTGTCCCCAGCCAGCCCAGACAGGGCTGGGAACAGTAAAATGAAGCCTAAACCTGCTCTGGGATTGCCCAGGATTCAGTGACTGACTGTGCCCATTCCTCAGCTCTGCAGGGGGAACATTCCCAGGGGAACATTCCACAGGAACATTTCTCAAGAACATTCCACAGGAACATTTCCCACAGGAAGATTTCACTGCTGCCCTTTAAAATTGCCATTAATTCCACTTGTTCTGCCCCTGCCTGCTGACTCTGGCATCACCCCACATCCCCTTGGAAGTGGACACTTACACATGGAGTAGGCAGCACTTAGCAACTCCTCTGCTACTACAAGAGGTGAAGGAAATCCCACTCACCTCCACTCTTCAGCAGGTGCTGCTCCTCCTCCTTCAGCCTGTTCTGGATCAGACGTAGCATGTTGGCTGCTTCCTGCAAGAGGGGGAAAGAGATGCCTTGGAAAAGCTGCCACAGGGAGAATGGGACTAGAAACTGTCATAAAACTTCCTGTTTTATGGAAAAACAGGTCTGATCTGAAACATGGAGCTCCTGCTTACTTTGTGAGGGCCAGGATGTAAAGCCAGGTCAACCAGTGCACTGAAATTCAACCTTACACCCCCACTGGGTAAAACAGCACTTATCCCATGGAAAATTAAGTTTATTGTCTTCATGCCAAAGAACATGACTGGTGTTGCTTTGAAAAGCAGATTTGGTAGTTGTTTTCAGCCAACAGTCACCAGAACTGATTTGTGAAATGACTGCACTTCCTAACACGTATCCAAACCAGAAAGAATCCACACCTTCCCAAGCTCCAACAAAACTGGAGCAAAGAACCCTATCAATGAGCTGGAAAGGTACAGCCATTATTTATTATACCACTCTGGTGCAAATGAAGGTCAGTGACACTAAAAAGTCTCAGAATGGGACCTTTCTAGTCCATTTTTAACAACATTTAGTTTAAATTTGGGTAATGCTAATGGTGAAGAGCAAATTAAACATGATAGAGTAGGTAAGATATGATTGCACATAATCAGGCATAGCCAGAGCCCACAAGAACAGGTGACAACAGCTGATAGAAGATTTAGCCACAAATTTTGCTAATTTTAGTCTCTTCAATTCCAGTCAGGCAGAGGAAAGTTAATTAATTGTGGACTGAAATAAGATTTTTCTGAGCCTTTGATTTTTCTATGCAAAATATGATTATAATTGAAAGCACCAGTTGCTCTGATGTGATCAGACCTCCACACTTACAGTGCACTTGTGGGAAGGAAATGTGCACTCAGCTGGAATATCCAGGGGACAGAGGGAAGAAAGTAGGAAGAGCATGAAATGTGGAGTGGAGCACAAGCTCTTGACACTTTCATGTGGAAATGTGTTTCCATAAGTATGGAAGCTGAGAAAGGAACCTCCAAAGCCCACCCAGCACATGAGGAAGTTGCTGGAAATTCAGGCCTGGGGACAGACTGGAATGGTTCAACAAAACTGGGCATAAATAACTGTTTACTGTTACTGGGAATTGAAACTGATGCTGGAAAAACTTGCAGGGAAGATGTTTCCAAGTGGAAGTGATGTGTCACCTGCAGCTGGTGAGAAACACAGCTCAGTGCCTCTCTCAAGGAAATAAATCCTGATCCAAAAATCTGCTTTGGACAGTCACACAAACTGTCTGCTCTACAAACTCTCAGTGCTAGCAGAAACAGGAATATTGTTAATGGATCCTTGGGACCAAAGGAAGAACTCTGAGAAACTGAGGTATGACAGTGTCCAGGGGGATAAAGCAGAAAGGTCAGGATGCCAAATCCCATGGAATGAGACTCTGCAGCAGCAACTGGCATCAACAGGACCACTGCAATCTCCAAACTGATGGGTGTGTTCTGCAGGGAAAAGCTAATTCCTGCAGAAACAAGGCAGGGAAAGACACAAGCATGTAACTCATTTCATGTAGACTCAGAACCTTTTAAATAATCTGTGGAGGAAATTGCTCTTCTTTATGATTCCCTTCTTCATGATTAACACTCTCCACCCCCTCAGTGCCAGCAAAGCCTTTTCAAAAATAATGAAAATTGAAATGTGTGTGGACCTGAGGCAACTCAAGCTAACAGTGTTTCTTTTGGTCATTCCAAGGCCTCCCTCTGCACCAATAAGTCGCAATATTTCCTCACTGAGCCTCACAATTACTGTCTTATTTTCCCTTACCTCTTCCTCACAGCCAGCCCTAAGGCTTAAATATGGCCAGTGATTTAAATAAGCCCCTGCTCTGTCCCTTGGACAAATGAATACATGAGGAGTCACCCCCACCTGAATCCCAACCCCACTGGCTGCTGCAACCACACAGTGCATACATATGGCAAAGAAAGGAAAAACCAGGACAAAAAGAAAAGGGCATTTCCCAAATGTCATGGAGACAAATTCATAAGCCAGGAAGCACGTTTAGAATGTTCACACAGCAGTGATATAATCAGCACAGACATAATCACTGCCTGGCACTGCAATTCAGGCACACACCACGACAGCTGAAGGTGGCAATTCCAATTTAGACAAATAAGCAGCTCCCCTGCCCTGCCTCCCTGCTCCTTCCCTTCTCCCACTCTCCAGCTCTGAGAAAAGCATTTGTGCAGTGACACAAAAGGAACCTGCTGCAAACTAACCCAGCAAAACAAAATTAAGGCAGGCAAGTTCTCCAGCTCAGCTCAGCATGTGCCTGCCCAAGGTCCTGACTGGAGGATGGGATGTTGTACCTGTGGGGGAAACAGCAGAGTAAGGAAGATGGGGTTTATGAACTTAAACTGTGAGAGAAATGAAGGCTAAAAGAATGTTTACCCATACAAATGAGCTACTTTCCCCCTTCCTCCAGCCTTTCACCTGTGCTGCTGCCTGCAGCTCAGCTGATCTCATTGCAAGCCAGCCCAGACACTTCACTGGCAGGAGAAATGTAGTTTTTCTGCTGGCTTAGGTTTCAGAATAACTTGATGCACAGCTGGTCCAATGCCACTGTCAGCCCAAGGGACCTGCTGAGCCTGTGCACCCTCCCTTCCAAAGCAGCCCCTGGCTCCATCCCCGCCACATCCTGCAGAAGCTCATCAAAAACTGCAGCAACAGAAAATGTTTTAAAAGGGCAGCTCCAAATCAGTCAGAGCCAGGAGAGCATCAGTGAACTGCTGGTTACTGCCCTTAGCAAGTGACATCCTCAAAGAGGGGGCAGAAGGGATGGCAATTCAAAAATCTAGAAAGTAAACAGAATTTATCAATTAATGTTTTAAAGCTTTTGAGTGCCTGCAATCATCAAAGCTGCGTTTTTGGGCCTGAGCAGCTGCCACCTTCCATGGTGACACCTTAGCAGATGTGATTTATGGCAGCCCAGCCAAGCCCAGCCTGTGCTGATCAGAGCTGTGTTTCTGTTTGAGGCTGTGTGTGATCCGGGCTCCTGAGCTGTGGCAGGGCACGGGAGCTGGGGGTGATGGACAGGAACACTGCAGGTGCTCCTGGAACACGGGGGTTGTACCAGGGCCAGAGCTGCTCAAGTGTCACATTTCCCTGCAGTGACAGGGTGACAGCTCCACGAAAACAGGGATGTGTCCCTGTGCTCATCACAGGGAACAGCCTGAGTGCCTTGGGATGCTGGATAGCAGGGAGCCACTATTTAACCCCCTGTTCAGTCTTTGCAGTAACCAAAGAGCAGGAGCTGCAGCAGGCAAACCCTGTCTGGATCATCCTCTGAATGTGAATTTTATCAAATGAAGTGGCAGCTCGCACTGGGGAATCAGAGTGTCAGATCAACACAATGTATGTACCAATCAACACAAAATCCAAACAAACCTACCCCTTCAGAGATTCCCACAGCTTTCAGGGTACCAGGGATTACTGGGGCTGAAAATCCTGCTTTAGGGACAGACAGATGGAAATTCTCCTTCTCTGCCTCCATACATTATGCAGCTTCTCCTGGGTGTAAATCTGCCCAAAGGAGTAATTTTTGCCAATAGCTGATGGAATTGGGCAGCAAGGCAGGGCTGACACTGAGACCCCCTGAATAACCCTGACTCCAAGGGACCTTCCAAAGTCCCAGCCCAAACCTCCTGCTCCAAGCAGGACCAGCAATGGGATCAGATCCCAGCACTCAGGGCTGGAGCTTCCTGGGTCCTAAAGATCTCCAAGGGAGAGACTGATCAACCTGCCTGGACACACTGTTCCACTGGCTGAGAGGCCAAAGGGTACAGAAGTTTCCTCCCAGCAGGTCAGAATGACTTTGCACTGCTAATGCCCTGTCTCTGCTCTCAGCACAAGGGTGTCCTTACCCACCAGTGATGTCCCCACTCTCCATGCAGGCCCTTGGTGACACACAGAGCCCACACAGACAAGAGCAGCAGGAAATGCAGAGCCCTTCTAGTGACACACAAAGGCTTCTAAATCAAATAAGTTTCACCTATGTTCACAATCAACTGGGGTTTTTTCATGCCCATTTTCTGTTATTACAGAAATGTTACCTGCCCAGCATACAAGAGAAGTATTTTTTGTTGGAATTACACAATTTGGAGTTGGAATGACACAATTCAGATACTCTGCATCTCAGTCTTCTTCAACTGGCAAAGCAAATGATTTTCCACTCGACACCTTACTGTGAAAGTCTTTGCAATAAATGGTGTCAGAATGTTATAACATGCTCTGATCTATTGCTCTCTGCACAAGTAAAACACTTTTGAGTTCCGGTGTGCAGGTTCTGGACTGGGAGGGGTGGTTGGGATGATTTTGCTTTCAAAGAGAGGCCATGGAGAACATCCCCCAGCAGGAGATCCACAGACAACTTGCTCTGCCACCGACTCAGTGGCTGCCTCAAGGTCAGTGATCCAGGATTTAGATAAACCACATGACTGACCCGACTGCCAGTCCCTCATCCCTGTCCTTTATGATGTACCTGATGCTCCTGAGTTTTGGGTTAAGCCATAACATCCAGCTGGAACTCATGAGAAATCATGAGACTGAAGACAACTCTGCCCCTGCAGATTGCAAAGCACCAAGTCTGACAGCTCAAAAGCAGGAAGAATAAAAATGATGCACTATTTGACCATTTAAAACAGTTCAGCTTTTTCTTTTTCTTTTTTTTTTTTTTTTTTTTAGATTTTAGCTAACCTCAAGAGTTTTTATTGTTTTTTTAAAAACACCATCAAGATTTTTAATATAAAGAATTTGTGCCCTGCAGCCAGCTGGCAGACACAATTACCACTAAACAGAAAGGAAAGGGAAAGGAGTGGGTGAAACAGCAAGGGAATAAGCACAAAAGCACAGGACAACAACTGGAGCTCACTGACTTTCTGCATTTGGATCAAACTTCAATTTCTGCCTTAGCTATTCCTTTTGTTCTCAGACACTCTCCCAGTTCCAGAAAATCTCTGTCTAAGGTTTTCATCTTAGGAAGGGAAAACAATGTTTTCTTCTGT